TAAGAGCGAAACTCTAATTGCGATATTGTAGAGTCATTTGCCAATTTATAAATTTTCCATGCATTGACGATTGTACTGTCTATAGTATTTATAAAAAGAGGCCACCACCATTTCTTTCCTCTTACTCTTATACGATAATTGGCTATGTCGTTATCGTGTAAATCAACACCCCCCATATTTTTGTTGTATTCTTTTATTAGAAATGGCGGGTCTACACTTACTTCTTTTCGTTGTTTTCTATCATACCGTTTTACTTGCTGAATTGGATTTATTGGTATATTATTTGACATCATAATAACGATTGAATTATCATTCCATTTACCTACACAAATTTTGGATCTTATATCATATCTAAAATCGAAAGCACCTCTGCCCCCTTTTTTTAAATCATTTGAGCTATCTAAAGGACACTTTTGGATTCTGTTTTCCCGCACAGTTCCTGTGGCGTATATATTATTTTCAGTAAGATATTGAAATAGCTTAAAAGACGAAAAAAAATTGTCAAAAAATATTCTGTGTTGGGAAGGAAATTCAAGAACTTTTAATAGATCTATAACAACATCTGCTCCCAGTCCATATCACTTTTATGTTCTCGTGCTCCAGCGTATGGACTAAACTGAAACAAATATCCATCTTGAGAACAAAGACACCAAATTTTAAAACCGAAGCGAACAGGCTTTCCTTTGATGAACATTTTAGCGGAGTGTCTACCAAAATAAGGAACCATTTCCTTATCGACTGATAAATTTTCTGAAAATACACCAAACTGCAGATTTCTTTTGTTTATTTTGTCAAATAATGGGCGCAATTTAGCAAATTTATCTTGCTTGTCAAGTTGAGCATTATCACATACATGTATATATTTTTTTATATTGCGAAACTTATTTTGACTCATGCAATTTTTAATTAATGGTACTCCCTTGTCCTCATCTCTGCATCTCTGCTCCAATACATCTCCATTTGTAGCAACGTGTGATATCCTGACAAGATCAAAATAGCAATAAATTTCTTTAAATCAGATACTGTCATTGAAAAATCATGTCGATTGTTGTCCTTGGCATATTTTAAAGTGTATTTTAAAATCATGTCTAATAATTCCTCGTCAAAAAAATTATAAAATACTTCAACTGGTGACTTACCGTAAAGCATGTCCTTTATACGTTGTTTTTGAATGGATCTCCAGTTTGGATTATATCGAACAGATTTTGCCCTCTTTGAAGTAGCCTGGCTTGTAGAAGGTTCATTATAATTATCTTCAAATTCATTTTTGTTGTCCTCAGCCCTCAATTCGAATGTCCCAGCAGTGTCTTGAGGCTTATTATGGCCTATAAGTAATAAAAAAATAAAGGTTACATAACAGTATCTTATATAATTATACCGTATAACACCTTCCAATAAATCGTCATCTATTTCCTCTTCATCAGTAAGCTCATCGACATCTGGTGGTATTATAACAGCATCAATTCTCGGTCTCATTTTGAATTTCTTCAATAGCAGCTTCCAATTCTTGAATAGTAAGAGGTCTATTCCGATCATAATTATCTTCCACTTATCCACTTATTTTTGCCAGAACTCATTATATATGTTTTAATCCGCAACAATACAGAGAAACACAACTATTGCTGTATATGCTTATACTAAAACGCTCTAGACAAGACTGAACTAGTCAAATACGGTTACACTCGATTTGTCACGTAGCGTAGGCGGTATTACCTAGAGACAGCACATTCCGCCGTTGATGCGAAAACGCAACAATAAGTTTGAATGCATGTAACTTTTTCTTGATAAAATTGTTTAATTTTTTTTGTATGGTTATTGCTAAATCTGTAGTTTATGCTTTATAAAAATCATATACACCATTATATTATAAGCAAAGTGAAAATTCTACAAGAAGATTATATAGTCATGACGAATCATGTAAAAAAACTGCCGAAGAAATTAATTTATAATAGTTAACAATTAATTATATTTGTTCTATAAAATATATTTCAATAGCATCAAGGCTTTGGGAATTAAAACATATAAAGAATTTTTTAAAAAACAAAATATTTAGTTGTATAAAAAAAATTCCCTTTAAAATGTTGCCTTTTCGCATCAACGGCGCTTAATGGGTTAACCGTGTTGCGTTGAGATACAACGATATTAAAATTATTTGTAGTTCGGTTGACTCAACTTTATTGTTTGATGTGTAGAATGGCCGTCTACAAAAAAGGATTATTGGAAAAGTAGTGCCATTTTTTTAAATATGGATACAAAAAATTACCAATGTACTCGTAAAATAACTCAACTTTCATCCAACCATTATCACTATTTCCAATACCAAAGGCAAAAGGCACTGAATTAACTATAGAAGTTGGAAGTCTTTTGTACAAATAAATAAGCATCGGATCAGTTACTTGACCAGATGCAAAAGAGTTAATCATCACGGTAATATTTATTTGTGCTTGACTATAATCTACCTCATAAACATTCCGTGCTCCACGAGGCGCAATAACTTTAAAATTTTTTGGGCACAGATAAAAACATGTTTCATCCCCATTAAAAATTCTAGTGGGCTTTTGTAGAATGTCATCTAAATTTTTACTTTTTAAATATTCCTCGACTGAAGAAAACCATTTACGAACATCTCTTTCTGAAACAACTGAACTAGCCGAAGTAATTGCTTCTGGTGTTCGGTGAGTTTAAATTTCATGTCGCTTAAGAAAGCCTTAAGCCTAAAATATTATCAATAAAATGTTTTTTATAGTTAATGGCCAGGTGGCCAATAACTGTCTAATATAAACAAATTAGAACCAGTGAGTAGCATAGATAATTTAATTAAAACGAAGCACATTCATGCAATTATTGACTTACATTTAGTTATTTTAAACATAATAAAATAACTTAAAACTGTAAATTTTATGTAACAAAACATACCTTATAAAATATCCTTTTTTCCAATACTGGCGGTTTTCACGATTCTTAAGTATTTTTAATAAAAAATGTTGATGCACAGCATACCATCTGATAGATCTGTCGATAAGTTTTTAAGGTTAGGCAGTACAATAAAATGAAGTCAGATACTATTTTGTACATGGTTGCCTCTATCATAAAATAATAACAGTTGTCAGTGAATATCATTATATTCTTAAAATAATGGAAAAAACCGACAATGTGCCAATAACTAATGGTGGCCAATCATTGTATAGCTTACCCTAGATAGAATTAGTAATGAGGTTGTTTTGCAGTAGATAGAAAAACTCACAAAAGTATTCAGAACAGTTAAAAATCGAATATGAAAAATATTTCATAACTTTTGCTTGTTAGAATAAAAAAAAATTAAAAACTAAAAAGTTTAAAAAAAATATTTAAATATGTATATGTATATATACATATATATATATAAATATATATAATATATATATATATATATATATATATATATATATATATATATATATATATATTGTTATTATTGTTTATTTTGAGTTCAAACTTAGTTTTATTGAGCCAATAAAAAAGAATTATAACTTATTTGTTCAAAGTAAAATAATCCTTATATTACCTGTGTTCGATGAATTAAAAAGATTTTCTAGTGGTCTTTTTATCGGGATAGAGAAGAAAAGGATAAGAACACAAATATATTATATTACAAAGATTTACATTTCTTTATTTTATATGAACGAATAAAACAATTATTAAATTCTGTCTTATCAATCAGCATACAAGAAAATAAATCAAATTATTATGATAATAAGATTATAAAGCTACATACATTTATATTACGTGAAAAACCAATTTTACTTAAAATTTTCTTTACTTAAAAAAAAAAAGAAACCACAAAACTTTAAACTTTTGATTAGCCTAACGAAACCTCAGTTCTTAAATTTTAATGATAATGACCATGATGTCGAAACGATCCTTCACAGATATAAAATTCAATTGTACAAACACTTACAGTGTATTTTCTTCTTGAGTTGTATGTTGGAGCATACTCAAAAAAGTCCAGTCTCCTCAAATATGTGATCTCCCCTCTTTGGCACCTCGGCTCCTTTTTTACGTCTCTGTAAACCTCCTTCAGACTACACAAAAAACACCTGATTCACTTCTCCAAACTCCGCTACTTATTTATGACACCAGGACCTCCGTTTGTCAACTTGCTGCCGTAAGAATACTTTCACATATACTTTATAAAATACCCACGGTAGATACAAGGATACTCTTTTAATCCACTTGTTATCTCCTTCTTCAAACTATTCACTTCTTTTTGTTACGCCGGTATCCAAACTCACGAACCACACCCTATCTTGAGACAAACGACTGTTTCCTTTCGATGACCAAAATATGACTAACTTCTCCTCTCTCATGATCGACTCAGCAAATTCCCATTTAAAAACGACCGTCCAATCAAAAAGCTTAAATTGTGTTTACCATGATTTTGGAAAAGCCTAATTTCGGTTTTAAGAGAAAACTAAATAGCTTACTTTAAAATTGGTTTTTTTTTCAATACATCATTTATACATATTTCAGAAGATTAAAATATGGTCATTTAATATCCGACTATACAAACAATGAAAAGATTAACTTACAGGTAAAATGTCTTCTAATTCTAAACAAAGATTTTTTGATAATTTTGTTTGAAACGGAAAAAGTTGCCAAACAAATTTCTATTCTTATCTACACTAAATCTTATCTTAAATTACTATATACAATTTGTTTATAGTTAATTAGTTAATAGTGTTTATTGTTAATTTATAGTTAAAGTCAATATTCATCTTATTTTGAGCGAGTTTTCTTCTCTTCTATAGAATTGATTCGTGATCAAATGTCACAGCTATTTTAATTGCATTGGTAGCAGCGCAGAAGATTATTTATAAACTTTAACTTTCATTGTCAATATATTTAAAAAAAAAACCTCCATATATAAATAGATCAGAACTCTTATTATAATAACACAATTTAAATCTATCACAAAAATATATATTCTAATATTATTCTTCTAACACTTTAATATTTTACAGAACGAGACGGTCAAATTTTGGACTTAGTTGTAAACGATGAACTTCTGCAGTTAACCGCAAGCATTTTTAAAACACTAAGCCGTTTCAAAGGAAACATACTTCTTGTTGGTAAATCCGGAGTCGGCAGAAAGAGCGCTGTTAAAATTTCAGCGACTTTACAATCCGCAAAGCTCATGGTACCCACTTGCGAACAACAACCTTTGCTGAATAATGACCTAAAACAGGTAGGCAAAATTAGTAAAAATTGGTTTGGCTATAAATAAAAAAAAATTAAAACTATCATTTATAAATCAGAATTCTTTGAGTAGTAATTATTATTTTAATGGTAATAAGCCGCAATTGTAGTTTTAAAGTTTATGGACATTTTAATTTTCACTTGGTCATACTGTCAATATCTTCATAATTTTGTAGAGTGACATGATCTTTAAGTCTTGCAATTTAGATATTGGGCACTGAAATAGATATTTAACGCATACTCCACTTCCTATATTTCTAGGATTGCAAATAAATATTGTAGAGTTTTTCTTGTTGTCTAGGGTTTAATAATTATAGGCCACGGGTTGATTCGAATTAGATCAATCACTTTATTGTTATACTCCAAAATTACAGCAATATACAACTAACTAATGTAACTATAACTTAAAATAGGACCGCGGCTTAATAGCAAAAATATGAATTCGTCTTTCGTCGTACGTCGTTTAGAGATGAGATGCCGTCTTATGCATATCAACTCTTCGTCGTGAGTGTTTTACTTACACTGTGTACTCGACCCACCGTCGAGCATTCAGCTATGCTACTTAACTCTGGACTTCGGCTCGCGCTTCGTGATAAATGGAGGTTAGAAATGGGTTACGGAAATAATTTTTTATTTGATGACGAATGCAATCCTACAATATCTTTTCTTAAAATCTCCTTAGATGATATCTCGTCCGGTCATTTCAACTTCAGGATAGAATTAATAAAATGAACATTCTCCAAACCATAACAAGAGTATAGGATAAAAGATTTGTAAAGACACGAATATCCCATATAATGAACATTAAATTTTAATATCCTAAGAAGATTTTTTCAAGCAGGAACAAATAGAATTATTATTGACAGTTGACATGCAGTTGACAGGTTACATGAAAGCTGATAGCTGTTGGTCGCTATCTTGTGACGTTACATCAAAATTTTCCCTCGTTCAAGTGTCCCATATTCTGCATTAAACACTACTAAAATTACGTGACGCGAAATTATCGGATTTTAATTTTAAAGCTATATACGCTTTATTTTTATCGAAAATTCAATATTATTTATGATATCGTTTCTTTCTTATATATTATATCTTTTATTTTTTCAAAACTTATTCGTACCCGGATGAAAACATGTTTAGCTAGTATAAAAATGTTTCTAAGTAAATTAAAAATATTAAGGTTTTTTGATGTAGACAAAAAATCTAACGGGGCTTTGTATTTATAGGCTATGCAATACTCTGGTCTCGATGGCGAAGAAACATACCTGCTAATAGAAGACTATATTCTAAACGAACAGAACAACATAAACCTCTTCAATTTTCTGATATATTCCGGAGAGGTATTTGTGTAGTTTTAGGATTAAACAAAAATAAATATAAATTATTTTACAGGTTCCTGGTCTCTACACACCAACTGAATTAGAATCGCTAGTTAAAGGTTTAAAAGAAGATTCAGATAGAGACAATTTTGATGGAAATTTAACTCAGTATTACGCTGAAAGTAAGGATTGGTATATTTCATTATGTTATATTGATAAGATTTAGTTGAAAAGTTCAACAATATATTTGTTTATACTTAATATAAAATTAAATAATCAATAAGAACAAAACCTACCCACAATCAATTTAGTATTATTTTCTAAGGACGGTGGTAAAATAAATTGATTTTCAGTAAGTCTTATTCTTATTTCTTTTAATGGACTCACACAGGCAACATAATTTAAGATTTTAACGTTAACTATTTATAAAATAATAACTTTCGTAACGTAGCTGGCGTCTATAGGTGCCATTGTACTTGTAGATACCAGGTACTTGATTAGTACTCTATTTATACAAGGATTATTGGTATAAACTCCAACATTTATTTTTTAGGAATAAAAAAGAATCTACATATTGTTATATGTCTAGACATTGACAATGTAAACTTATGGAACATTATTCAAAGCTGTCCGGCATTTACACAAAACTGTAGTATAATCTGGCAGTCAGATTGGAGTAGGCATACTATTGAAACAGTACCAAATAATTTGCTAAGCAGGTAGGAATTAAATTAGGATAAAGCAGGGTGCATTTTATATTTGCATATATCTTTAATTATGACACAAATTTATGCAATGGATGATTATATTTTATCCCCAGAAGAGACTTGTTTTTATTTGACCACGTCGTCGATCATAGCATTTTAGAATTTGAAAAATGTGCTAAGACAATTAAATTTTTTTAGCTTCCGTAGCTTTTCTGTAAAGCTGAGTATTTACTATCTTCAGGAACCTCTTCCGCTCCGTTCTTCTACAACTGCTCCACATAATGGATAAGGTTACGCTCCTGGAGCGTGCAGCAGTGCGCGCTTCGCGCTCCAATAGGTGGCGGTAATTTGGGCTAAAACAAAAGCGAGCACAGTCTGTTCGTGGACACAAGAAAGATATCACGAAATACGTACGTGTCGTATATCAATCTCAAGGCTTGGTTAAATTAAGTGGTCGGAAGAAAAATATTTAACTCTAATTAGGTTGTACCCAAACTATACTGCTGTGGGATCCTCAGGATAAGGATTTCAAAAATAAAAATTTAAAAAAGAAGACGGCTGTGTTTAAAATCAAAAAAGGTATGGACCTATCGGTGCAAATATGCAAAGATAAAGATAAATGCTGCTTTCGGGATTTCGAAGAGAGAAATCAAAACAAAAAACAACAGAGTGACGGGGAGAGTTAGGTAATTGGAGTATTATTAAGTGGAACCAAATAAACACATCAGGCGAGCAAAAGTGAAGAGAGCTTTAATATATTATAAGATATTCAGAGAATTTAATTATATAATATAAATTTATATATGCTGCACTAGCAACTAATGATGACTACATGTTTACCCAAAGGTTCGTTGAAAACTGTAAAGCGCATGAGGAGGTGGCGTGTTTTATCTAGAGGAGCGCATGTCGTATCTATTGAAGCAGTTGAAGATCGTGAAGCGTGCGAAGTTCACAAACATAGTGGCCTACAAACATAGTCACCTTTACAAGTAAAATTAATTTTAGTTTTAATATAAGTACAGACTTATCATTTACAGGAGACTGTACTCAGTAAGGATTGATATAAACGACAAGTTACGTCTATTAATTAAAAATATTAGGGATTATTTGGTATTTGTGTATTTGTTCTGGCTAGGTTTCACTAACTTTTGTCGCATTTACTTAAAGTTTTTGCTCACTTAAATTCATGCCTGTACAAATTGGTCATTAGCATTGCCCAAAAACAAAAATCTAAGGGAGTTGAGTCTCGCGACCGTAGGAGTCATTATATTGCACTATCTGTACTAATAAACCAGAACACTCCAATGCTCCAGACCATCCTTTTCCTCCTATAGCACTTAATTCGCGATAAGTGCAAAATATTAAACAAATTCTCTTTGTGTGGGAATACTGAGTATTAGAACTTCAACACAGTTCAGTAACCGATTCAAAATTCAGGCTAGCGTGAGACGCTTAATTACTGTCTATTGTCTATTGTCCTTCAGTGAATTATACGCGAATCTCGACTCGCGGTTGAAGCGATTACTTATATAATCGATCTTGTCGCGCTTTTCTCGAACGGTTTTTGGCAGAGCTGCTTGTGATTGGTCCTGTGCTAGTTTGGAGTAGTCGTACTGGTCGGTCTCGTTGTTTGATTTATTTTAATCTTTTTCTTCAATACCTATTTTTCATGTTGTTGTAGACCTTTGAGACTCATCTCTTTGGTTTAGACGTTTGTTATATTTTATTTCTATTTCTATTGTTTCTCTGATCTCACGTTTTTTTTTTATCTTAATATTGGCTAGTATCGTCGTTTTAATTTAGGTTAATTATATCGCACCCTCAGTAATATAAGGGATCAACTCAAAATTTTGGTAAATTGAGATTTTAGATGCTATGGGCACAAAATTAAATTCTCTACCGGTTAGCGCTGACAGAGAGAGAAATAGGACATTAGTTGCTCGGTAAATATATTTGTGCCTCTCTCTTACTCTCCCCGCCAACCTATTGTTTTTACTGCTACAAGGTAACAATCAGTAACGTGCCTATAGTCGTCAAAGGCGGACTGTTCAAACGTCGTGCGATTCCTGTTTGTTCCCTTCTATGACAAAATTCTGGTGAGTTTGTATGTTAACATTTTTTATTATATAGAACAATTTTTAGTTTAGCCCTTATATTATGTAAAATGTAATTAATAATTGGGTTTAATTCATAATAGCTCGCTATATTGCCAAAAAGTAGAGATGTTATACGGAATCATATCTTATTGGTTCATTATAGTACGTAAATTGTTTTATTGTTGATGGCGAACTTTGTAATTGGCCCTTATTTACATGAAAATTTTAACTATTTTTTTAATTGATCCGATTTGCGGCGAGTTCGTTCCTCAGCCAGGTACGTCTAAAGCCAATATTTCCATGCCATCCTGATCGAGATGCGATGAGTTGCCATCAGTTAGATCAAGAACAGTAGGTAGTTACATAATGTCTCCAATACATTCAGAAGAAAGCGAGGTAGGCCTCAGTGATGACGATCCCACTTACAAACAAGAACATTTTCGTCGACGTCCACGGATCACAGCAACTCTAACTTCGATTGGTACAAACAATGTAACTATGACAAATGATAACATTCAAAGACAATCAAGAAAACGTAAAGCAGATCCAACCAAATGGATACAAAACACGCAAAAAATGAAACGAAACTTGGGTCAAAGCTATGTAGCTATACATTCGAAGAAATTGGTTCCTGCACGTAATATGAAACCACCTTGTGGCCAAAAATGTAGATTAAAATGCAGTGAGCGAATCGATGATTCCAAAAGGTTGAAATTATTTAGTGCATTTTGGGCATTAGGGGATAGACAATTACAAAGAATGTATGTTTTGTCTAATAGCGCACAGATTACACCTAGGTACAAGTATACCAATGCCGAAAAACCACGAAATCCAAACCATGCATTTTATTTTTCCGTAGACAACGAAAGAGTTAGGGTATGCAAAAGCTTTTTTATTAATACTATTGATATTTCTCATAAGATGATTCGAAATGTACATGAAGATAGTAGAAAAACTGGGGGCTTCATAAAGGATGACCAACGCGGCAAACACAATAGTCATAAAAGTGTAAGTGATGAGCTTATAAATGACATCACCAACTTCATCAACTCTATACCCCGCATTGAGTCACATTATCTAAGAGCATCTACCTCTAGAGAGTACATCAGTAGTGGTAAAAGTATTGCAGAGCTCTTTAGAGATTTTGAAGTACTGCAAGAGGAAAGGTCTCGCCCGGCTGGACTATATCACACGTTTTATGAAATTTTTAACACAAAATTTAACCTTGGCTTTTATCAACCAAAAAAAGATCAATGCGATCTTTGCCTGCAGTTCCAAAATTCTACTGAACCACTAAAACAGAATCTTAGGGATCAATATCATACGCATTTGGAAAAAAAGAAGTTATGCAGGGAGGAAAAAAAGAATGACAGAAAGAACATTGATGAGTGCAATATTTGTGTATGTTACGATGTACAAGAAATTATGCAAAGTCCTAACGGTGAAACATCACCATTCTATTACAAATCTAAATTAAATAGTTGCAATTTCACTATGACGGAATTATAAAAAATACACGAAAACGATGTGTCAACAATGGACATCTCTAAAGGCTATGAAAATGTCCATTGTTATTTTTGGGACGAGACTCAAGCGAAAAGAGGCGCTACAGAGATAGGGAGCTGTGTTTTCCATTATTTACAGATGGTGTCTGATAAAGTTGGTGACAGGGAAGTAAATATAACATTTTTTCCGATAACTGTTGTGGGCAAAACAAAAATAAATATCTTACATGCTTATACTTATACGCTGTTGCCAATCTAAAAATTTGTCGTCGATAACTCACAAATATCTCATAAAAGGGCACACTCAGAACGAAGCTGATAACGTGCATAGTTTGATACAAAAGCAGATAGCTAGAGATAGGAAAACTGGCCCAATATTCTCTCCTGTTCAATACATCTCAGCAATCAAAAGAGCAAGGAAAATGGGTGCTTCATTTATAGTTCACAGTTTAACTTACAATGTTTTTTACGATCTTCAGAAATTACAAGAAAATTGGGGCTATAATTTTAATACAGATGAACAGAAAAATAATCTTGTATGGAATAGTATTAAAGTACTGAAATTTACCAAAGAAGACCCATTTTCGTTTTATTACAAGTGCTCATATAAGGATGAGTTTAAAAAAGTTAATGTTCGTGATAAGAGGAAGAGAATGCCAAATATTAAAGAAATAACCATGCAGAAAGCTTACCTCCAGGCACTTCCACTTAGTTGTGCTAAAAAGAATGATCTTAAGGATCTTATTAATAAACAATTGATAGATCCATACTATGCGTCTTATTATAACAACATGTCTTAATATTACTAAAGTTTTGAGACTGAATTTTATTTTTGAAGACTTTATTTTTTAGAATGAATTTTTTTGTTATGTGCAGTTTTCGAAGTTTAGAATGGAGGAATGAATGTTTTTTTGTTATGTATAATTTTTTAAGTTTACTGTGGAGATATTGTGATATACAATTAAGTATTAAGTAAACGACAATGTAAAAATTGAGGAGTTCCTACTTGTAAGTTTTATTTGGAATTAAAACTCATAAATGTGACAATATTAAAGCTATCTTATTATGTTTAACTCTTGTTTTGAATTTTTTTTAGATTATTGTTATATTTTGCACTGATTAATAAAGTATTACTATTATTTTACCTGATATTTTATTTATAAAACAGAAACATTAAATTCAAACATCGGTTGGGATTGGTGATATAGAGTACCATTTACGATTAAAAATTAAACAGTGGCAGGGACACTAATAATATAAGGGATCAAACTTAAATAGTTCCTTATTTCTGTTATGGTTTTTTATACTATACGGGACTAACTCGAAAGTAGTTTTTTCCATTCCTTGTAATTAATAGAATTTATTTATATTATTATTTTTTCCTCATTGCAATTTTTAGTGCAGTTATCAA